TTTTGCAATTTTACGTAGTTTTAAATAAAAATATATATAGATTTATATAAATAACTATGTAAATCTACGTTGTATTTGTTCTTTCGTTTGCCCTTTTATTTGGCCTTTGTTTGGCCTTTTGTTTGGCCTTTTGTTTGGCCTTTTGTTTGCCCTTTCGTTTGCTCTTTGATTTGCCTTTTCATTTGCCCTTTCATTTGTCCTTTTGTTTTCCCTTTCATTTGCACTTTCATTTACCCTTTCGTTTACACTTTCATTTGCACTTTCGTAAATATCCATGCTTTCATCCACCATTTCATATACCTGTTCATTTACTCTTTCATTCACCATTTCATCTACCGTTCATTTACTCTTTCATCCGTCATTTCATTCACCATTTCATCAACTATCTCATCTACTATTTCATCCACCATTTCATTCTCCCTTCCATTATCTAATTCATTGCTTTCCAACTCATTATTAATGCTATCTAATAATTTTTGCTCCTAAATATATATATACAATATGTATGTATGTACGTACGTATGTATGTACAATATATTTAAAATTAGTAATAGTTACACAATTTATGGATGCATAATTAAAATATCATGAAAGATTGACAATATGCATCAATCAAATAATTTGCATTAAAATTTTTCAGTAAATTTTTTTTGTTAGTTTACAGAAGCTGATTTTATAAAGAGTCGATTGTTAGAAAGCCTGATTGGTGCATCTGTGATGATCTTTTATAGTCCTATTAATTAAAACTTTATACATATGTACCTCTGCATTTAAAGCTGCAGCCCCCAACAATGACTCTAAAATTTCTTGTTGATTTATATTATCGTGGGGTTCAGGTTGTTCGAACCAGTTTTCAGGTAGTTCGTCTTCAGAATTAATGTGCTGTTTCTTGATTTCCTTTAGTAAATAAAAATGCTGCAAAGAGTTTTGTTCAAATACCAATGCATATGGACTACTTTTGGTTTGTCGAGATAGTTGTATATTCATTGCATCTATTAAAAAATAAATTAAATTGAATTAAAAAAAAAAAAAAAAAAGCTTACAACAACACAACGATACAGCGCGAGACTAATCTGTTCTTTGTATATCCTCTATCCATTTTGATACCTTTTGTTGAAGGATATCATTGGCCCATTCTACTAATCCCTGGCTCTGTGGGTGTCTTTGATGCCCATTAATTATGTGAACATCTGGCCATATTGTTAATAACTCACGAATAATTTCTGCTGTGAACTCTTGACCATTATCAGACTAAAGAATGATTGGAGCACCAAAGCAAACAAATACATCAAAAAGAAAGACAACCACTTCAATTGGCCATTTGCTGGTTAGAGTTCGCGACCAAGAATACCTTGTGAAATGATCATGCATATAATATATATAACGATAGCCAAGATTGGGAATACTGGTCATAGAAATTAAATCAATATGGGCTCTATTAAGAAATGCATTAGAGATGATCAGCTTTGCAGCAACTGGATTTGGAAAACTTCTTCTTGTTGCACATGTTGTGCAGTTTTTTATGAATTCCTTAACAAAAGACTGTGGAATATAATAGCATTGTTTGGAAACCTATAAAAAAATAAACTAATTAATATCATATCAAATCATGAATATATGAGCACTATTAAAAAAAACTTGTGATAGTTATTTTAATTATTTTTTACATATCAATATTTAAAAAAGTAAAAATAATTATCACAGATTCCTTTTTAATATTACTTATATATTAATTTATAATGATAAATATATATATTTTATTATACCGCTTCCCAGAGCTTTGATGCACCAACATGTTTTTAGACCCCTTAATGTAAACTACACAACATGTTGTATATATTGTCAACGGAGCATACCAGCAAATTCGACTCTACTTTAATAAGCTAAATAATTCCAAGATCCTGTATTGTGAACATTTTTTTTGCCCAATGATAGTCTTTAGCAGTCCTGATTTTTGTGTTTGTTGGGTCTTATAAAATCTTAACGCAAAAATCAAAATCTTCACATGTAATAAAAGTTTTGCGGCATCTGTTAACTGATTTACTATCAAGAAATTTGACAAGCAAGTTATCAAATACACTATGAGATATGAATGAATAATCCTGCGGTTCAACCATTGTATATTAAAGTACTAAAAAGAGTAACAAGAATGAATAAAAGAGTACTTTATAAAATAATAAGGATGAATCATACGATTTTAATTTATTTAACTTTATACTTTTAACATCATTAATTACGTTATCTGATATTGTAAGGAAACCATTGATCCACATCGCACAATGCAAGTGTTGTGTAATGAACATGTCAAAGATTCAAGGAACAATCATACATCACGGGAAACGTGATGTAAGATTAGAATCATGTTAGTATGATTGAACACTTAGTCATGAGGGAATTGTAATAGCTATATGTGCAATTGAGGTCATAATTAAGTAATTGTATTGTAATATGCGATAAATATGTAAAAAGAGAAAAAAGCTTTTCATTGCTAAAAAAAAAGAAATATAGAAATAAAATCCTAAGTTACTTAGTTTCCTAGAAGAGATCGTCCTAAACCTATTTACTCTTAATAGATACAGTTACATTTGGTAGCAGCAGAAATAAAGTTATCCTTAATAACCGAGCAAACTTCAAAAGTAAATAAATAAATAAAAAAAAAATTTTTTTTTTTTTTTTTTTTGGAAAAAGATCACTGCCATGACACAAGAAAATAAAGACGCGATGGATACAACAGATCAAACAAACAACGACTTCATCAGTATGTTCAAAAGATTCCTCCAAAATCAGAACCAACTTAATCAATACCTTGCTAACACAACCCAATAGCAACAAGCAACGAACAACCACTTACAAATGTTAGTCACAGATACTTCAAGAAACACAGAAACATCAAGAAGCATTTTTAACGTAGGAGACATAAAAGATACAGGATTCAAAGGATTAAACGTTCACTTACCAATGTTTAGTGGTAAAGAGGCGAAAATGTTCTCACGTAGCTCCTTCAAGCAGACCTCCTTTTTAAAGCCATAAAGGTAGAAGATGAGGAACAGCTGCAGTACATAATAACTAGTTTAAAAGACGTGGCATTGCAATAGTATTTGAACCTAGTTCAAGCTAATGAAGGCAACCAGCCATTTGCAAACTGGAAATTATTCTCTACCAGTATTAAAGTTGCATTTCAACTGCTTCACCATCAACAACTATTAAGGTAACAATTAAGAAGCTTAAAACAAACATCAACAGTTCAGAAATATGTGGGAAGGTTCAGAAACTTGTTAGAACAAATAGAAGAAATCACCAAACCAAACAAAGTAATGTACTTTACCGAAGGCTTAAAGAATGCCATAAAGGCAGAGGTAAATAATTGAGCTCTAGAAAATTTAGATGATGTTGCAAGCTACGATTTGGCAATGTATAATGCAAAGAATGGCAATAATTATTTCTACAAAAGAAACTCAAGAATGAATGACGATGGCTGAAAATATAAAGATACACAGAGTTATTCATTTCAAACTCAAGAAGGTTCTATACTAATGGAATTAGACAGAATAAAAAAAGGACATTTGAAAAACACTAAACCTGCAAATGAAAGAAAAGGAAGAGTAATGTTAGCTAAAGAACAGAAAGAGAAATTTAAAAGAAAAGGACTATGTTTCACTTGTGGAAAGAAAGAACACATGGCCAAAGATTGCCGAAGCAAAAATTATACAAATAACGAAATTAACCAAATAGAGGAAATTAACCAGAAGAAATCAGATAAAAGAAACAAAAAAAATGAAGAAAGCCTCTTAAAAGCAGAAGAAAAGAATGACGAAAACTGTGAAAACCTTCTAAAAGTCAAAGGAAAGGTACAAGGTCGAAACGCATTGATCCTGATAGACTCCGAAGCATCTAAAGATTTTATAGATGAAAAGTTTAGTAAGGAAATACAATTAAAAATGAAAGATGAAGGTACACCTACCGCAATTGAATTGGCAGACGGCTTCCGATGCGAATCAAAAGGAAGTATTTCAAATATTAGGATTGAAATACAAGGTTATACGGATGCGAGAAAAGATGTAGAAGTGTTACTCCTACAAAAATATGATTTAATTCTTGGAAAACCTTGGCTCTACAATATAAATCCAAGAATTAATTGGAAAAATAATAAAATCATGATAAAAAAGGGTAAACAAATTCACAAAATCAAGGGAAAAACGGAAGATATTAAAGAATATCAAACAAGCCTCGTATCCAAACAACAATTTGTTCAAAAAGTGAAAAGCACCGCAAAACTATATGCTGTACTTGCCGTAGGAGACCCTGAAAAAGAAACCAAAATAGAAAGAATATCAGAATTTTTGAGAGAATTGGTAGAACAATATCAAGATATATTTCCCCACGAACTACCTAAAGAACTACCACCAAAAAGAAATATCAACTATGAAATACTGCTACAAGAAGGAATGTCTTCACCATACGGACCTATATATAAAATGTCAGTTCTGAAAATGAAAGAATTAAAGAAACAAATTGAAGACTACTTGAATAAAGGAGTCATTAAACCTAGCACTTCACCGTATGGTGCACCTGTGTTATTTGTAGCCAAGAAAGAAGGAATGTTAAGAATGTGTATTGATTACCATGCACTAAACAAAATAACAATTAAAAATTGATACCCCTTACCACGTATTGACAAATTATTAGACCAAATACACAGCACCAAATACTTCAGTAAGATAGACCTCCACTCAGAATACCATCAAATACAAGTAAAAAAGAAAGACATACCCAAAACAGCGTTCAGAACAAGATATGGGCATTACGAATTCTTAGTTATGCCATTTGGCTTGACTAATGCCTCTGCCTTATTTATGAGGTTAATGAACAACATCTTCAGAGAACAGATAGATAAAAGCGTTATAATCTATTTAGATGATATCTTAGTATACAGCAAGACAAAAGATGATCACCGCAAACATTTAAGGGAAGTATTTAAAATTTTAAGATACTACAAGTTGTATGGAAAAATGAAAAAATGCGAATTAGGAAAAAGCGAAGTAGAGTTCTTATGACATGTAATTTCACACAAAGAAGTAAAAGTAGATCCCAAAAAAATTGAAACAATCCAAGACTGGCCAGCACTTACAAATATCAATGACCTTAGATTATTTCTGGGTCTCGCAGGATATTACTGAAAATTCGTGGCAAATTTTTCAAACATTGTAATCCTGCTGACAAAATTACTAAAGAAAGACACAGAATTCGAATAGAAAGAATCCCAAGAAAAAGCCTTTGAAGACATTAAAGAAGCATTAACATCTGCTCCAGTTCTACTAATTTCAGATCATAATAAACTATTTATACTCACAACCGACGCATTAGACACTGCAATTGGTGCAGTTTTATGCCAAGACCAAGGCCAAGAAGAACAACCAGTAGCATTAGAATCAAGAAAATTAACTCCCACAGAATTAAAATATCCAATCCACGAGAAAGAACTCTTAGCAATCATCTACGCATTAAAGATTTGGCGTGTATACTTAGAAGGAAATATTTTTCAAATTATAACTGACCATGAATCATTAAAATACTTACAATCCCAAGCAAAGTTGTCACGAAGACAAGCCCGTTGGATTGAAACCTTGCAAGCTTATAATTTTACCATCAAATACCGATCAGAAAAAACCAACGTGGTAACAGATGCATTGTCAAGAAAACCAGAAAAAAATATAATAACAGAAGTTAGTATTAAAAATGACATGTACGAAAGAATAAAAGAAGAATATAAGGAAAATACTTATCTTAAAAGAATCTTGAAAGCATTGGAAGACCCCAACAGCGAAGAAGCCAAACGATTAGGGAAGCAGGTAAGTAGATTCAAATAAAAGAAAATAGATTACTATTTTTTAGAGAGGATACAGAAGATCCAAGACTATGCATAGCAAAAGAATCCAAAGAAAGAAGGCCGTTACTGAAGGAAAGTCATGACTTGAATGGATATTTTGGATTCGAAAAAAGCTATGAAGGATTAAGATGAAATTACTATTGGAAAAATATGAGTAAAGACGTGAAGAAATATGTAAGAAAATGTGACAGCTGCCAGAGAAATAAAAGCTCTACACAAGCACTAGCAGGATTATTGCAACCACTAGAAATACCAGCACAATCCTGGGAAATTGTGTCAATGGATTTCATAACACACCTACTATGAACAAAAACAGAAACGATTCAATAATGGTAGTGGTAGATAGACTAAGCAAAAAGTTACACTTTATACCCACCAGAAGCTCTGCAACAGCAGTAGAAATAGCTAAACTTTTCTTTAAAGAAATTTTGAAACACCATAGATTACTACGCTTTGTAATTTCTGATAGAGACCCTAAATTCACTAGCAAATTTGGAAAAACCTCTTTAAAATAATGGGAACGGAGTTAAAGATGTCAACAGTGTCGCATCCACAAACAGATAGCCAGACGAAATGCACTAACCGAATTCTTAAAGAAGTCTTGCATGCATACGTAAACTACAAGCAAGATAATTGGGAAGAAATATTATCTCCGCAGAATTTGCATATAACAATTTATTATAAGGGTCCACAGGCTACACACCATTCAACTAGACAACAGACACCAACCCAGAACACCATTGAGTTTAACGATTAAGAAAATAAAGCCAACAAATATTAAAGCAGCACAAGAATTGCTAAAAATTGGACCAAGATGATGAATGTGGCAAAAGACGCATTAATAAATGCGTAAGAGAAACAAAGTGACCAAGCCAACAAAAGATAACATTACCTAGAATTAAAAGAAGGGGACTTAATGATATTAAATATGGCAAATCTAACCCCACAAGAAAGTAAGAAAAGACTATCAAAGAAACTTATCTCAAAATTCATAGGCCCTTTTAAGATTATTCAGAAAGTATCAACAACAGCATATCGATTAAAGCTTCCAGAAACATTACACATCCACCCAGTTTTCCATGTATCATTGTTAAAACTCTATTATCTTAGTGAAACTAAAGATAATGTAAGAAAAACAACTCCAACAATCGCAACCGAAAATTCAGAAGAAAACGAAGTTGAAGCCATATTGGACAAAAGAATATACTATCATCGCCCACAATACTTGGTGAAATGGAAATGGCACCCATTATATGATGCGACCTGGGAACTTCTAAATAAACTTGAAAATTATAAAGATCTGGTGAAAGAGTTCGAAAAAAGGGTGAACCTGTTTTAAACGAGGGAGAGTATAAGGGAACCATTGATCCACATCGCACAATACACATGTTGTGTAATGAACGTGTCAGAGATTCGAAGAACGATCATACATCACAGAAAACATGATGTAAGATCAGAACCACGTTAGCATGATC